GAAATACAAGCTTGGAGTTCCATTTAAAGCGTTTTTAAAAATTTTCTTGGAAATGTGAAAGCTGACAATTACAAAGATCTAGTGATTGAACTACTTAGTGCCTGTAAAAAAATGTGTTGAAACATGTAACTTAAAATTCGCTTACTGGATTCTTCATCGAAAATTTAGGGGCCGAAGTGACTACCATGGGTCATCAAGGCATTTCTGCTAAGGAGAAATGGTACCAAAGCAAGTGGGGTGCCAGTTTGTTTGGCTACTGCTAGACATTGTTAAGGGATACTCCAAAAACAAAATTTCGCCGAAAAACATCGACAGTAACATTTTAGGATACTCTTTGGTTAATAAAATAGTACGTCTATGGCTGTTTTTTTTTTAACAAAAATCCTCATAGTAAAAACTAAAGGTAATAGAAGAAATCTGCAGCTTTTTTCTGCATTTGTGGCAATTTCTAAATAATAAACACTTTGTTCAGTTCAAAAAGCAAATGTATTTTTGTCTACCAGTGATATTTTTATAGTAAACTATTTAATAAGAGACATAAACTATCCTATCATTTAAGTTGGTTTAAACTAAGCACAGTGTGCTAAATTTTACTTAAATCGGTTCAGTAGCTTAAGAGTTTACCCCGAACAAACAGTTGCGTTTTGTTATACCACGTTTTAAGTCACGTCCCACGAAAACAGGATGACAAGTATCTATGTGATTTTAAGCTACCGACTACCAATTTCCAGCCAAATTGGTTATACCTTTCTTATATTATAAATTGTGAAACTAATACGACTTTCTTTGAAATATGTTCTTACATAGGCAGAACTTATAAGTTGGCGAAGAGATGGCTTTAATTATTTTTTCCATTAACGCTAAAAATTTGTACCCATTTCTTGCAGTATTTTGCAAAAAAAGGGTACTTCGTTACTAATCTTGTGTATCTTCACAGCATAGTTAACTGATTCGAAACCTCAGTTATAATCGAATTTCAGAAATCATACTTCGTACTTACTAAAGTAGAGAGAAAAATAAAACAATATCTATACATATCGAAATTTCAGGGGTTTTTGTTCAGTTATGATCTTAGTAGTTGTACTGCCGAAATATTTTTTTCTAGATGTTCCAAATGTCACTTAAATATAATTTTAGTGTTGAGCATTTGTTTGCCTTTCTGAACTACGTAAACTGCATTCTGTGATTTTTACGATGATTTAAGTTATTCAACAAAGAAGTTCCTTTATATGCCTGGTGCTGAAACCTTCAGAATGCCAGAAAAGCCATTTGTTGACAATTGTTTGTCGCAACCTAGTGTTTTGGATTGTATTGGATTCCTGTACGGACAATCTCAATAAAATAAAGGAAGGAGGTGCTTGAAAATCGACGTCTAAAGGTCAATCAGTTTACTGGCATTGTTAGATTATTAGCAGTATTCGGAAAACCATTTTGAAAGACCATTTGGGCATACGAAAAGTGAACGCACGATTTGTTTCGAAATCACTAAATTGTTTCGAAAAACAGCGTTGCGTTTTTACTGTGAACAATGCTTTCCGACTATCAGAATGTCGTGAAATCTATTGTTACAGGCGCTGAGTCTCAGATCTATGCTTACGATCCAGAAACAGATGATACATCGGGCGAATATCGTGGCCAACCAGGTAATGTTGACAGTTTTATTCAATTATCAAGGCGTGGTGCAATCCGAATTCCTTCCGCCCGACCAAACTGTCATCAAGGAATACTACTTGAGTGTTATGCGTCGTTTGCGTGAAGCTTTTCGTAAAAGGAAGCCAGAATTATGGACTGACAACTCTAGGATAATTCTTTGAGAGCTTTTCGCCAAGTTTTCGTGCCGTAACCACCGTATTTGCCTGACTTGGCTCCGTGTGACTTCTGGCTTTTTAGTAAACTCAAACGAACGCTTCTTGGAAACCGTTTTGAGTCAATTGAAGATATTATATTATATACGAACATTGAAGGCTATTACGGAAATTGACTTTAACAACTGTTTCAAGGATTGGAAAAACGTTGAAATAAGTATATTGGTTACAAGGTGTATTACTTTGAGGGGGACGATGTAGATTTTGAAGAATAAATTAAATTATTTATAATTATTAATTATGTAATTAATTGTACAGTTATAAAAATCAAGAAAAATTAAGAAAATTATATCATGTACTACGGATAACGGTACTCAAAAATGTGTGCCTAATATAACCAACCAAATATTTGTTGCTCAACATAATTTCTTCAAAACTCTTAACTTCAAAAATATTACTTAAAATAAATCATTTTATTTCATACTAAATTCTCTTTTATTATATTCTTAAAGCAGTTACAAATGATACTTAAAAACTATTTAGAAGACAAATGATGCTTAAACTTAATAATAATTGTAGGCGGGATGCCGTCGATGTTGAAACTGTTGGCAGTTCCACTGCATTACACATGTACATATCTATAAACTATTAAAGCTCTTTCTCTCATCGAAATGTAGGCGGTGTGGTTTAAGGACATACCAAGTCCTAGAAGGCACTAGCGGCTTGCCGTTGCGTTGCTTTATGTAAAACATTCAAAGATATCAAAAGGCGGCATAGTCTTTTTTAATAGAATCAGAATAGATCAGAAGCGATCAATTTGCTTGTTCTGCTCTCAGCGCTGAGTGTTGAGCAAGTTGTTAGTTCGCGTTGAGTAGTTGCTGCCTCAGACATTATTGTTATCAGTTATTGTTTGTGTACCACGTAGTGTTGTTGTTGTTATCTACCATACTAATTGCTCTGGACTTGAACAACCATTTCAATAACTTAAAAGCCCTCTTGAGCGCATTGCCTGCTGTGTAGTTAGGTTTGTTGACGTTTTGCTCAGCCCAAGTGCTGACGTTACAAGCGTTCATTATTGCGCCGTAAGACATTATTAACGTTTAGTTATTTGCGATTTAAGGATTTTACAAAGCTGTGCAACTTCGTTGATGATTATGCTAGAGTTGATTCTAAAGTTAAGTTATTCGCTCGATTGCTAGGCTACGAATGACATTCTGCTCCTTGCCATGCTGGCTATTTATACCTTTGCGCATGCGCAAAACTACCTCTGTATTTTTGCCATAGTTAGCGGAGCAATATTGGCGCGGATTTTTTCTAAACCTGCAAATATTTTATTGTTTTTGCATTTTTGAAACTGAGCTCTTGTTTTGTATAATACTTTTTGGTGTTTGCTGCACTTGCGGGTAATACACTTTTCTATCGGCTGTTTAGCTATGCTTTGAAATATACATACATATGAATATATTTATGTATAGTGTCGGGATATTTGTTGTTTATAAAATTGGTATGAAAGTAATATGAAAATATTTCTTGAGTAACTTTTCTTAATTGACTTACTTTTAAGTATTTGCTTCCATATCATTTGAGCGACTTTCACGTGGTTTTTAGGTTTTGACTTTTTGCCTCTATTCCGATGATCGTTGACTTGTTTGCACCCTAAACTCATAAAGCCATGTCTCATCGGCAGTTATAATGCTCTCAACGAAGGTGGGATTGGAATTCGCACGATAAAGCCTGTCCAAAGACACCTGTCTACGGTACTCTTTTTTTTTTTAAATACATCTTTATCGGGACGAGTCGAGCAAAAACGCGTTTCATATCCAAACTATCCACCAAAAACATTCGAAGGAAGCCGCGAAAGATGTGGAGCTTTCTTGACAGATGATGATTTTCAAGCATCATATTTTTTACTTTTTTTTATTACTTTTTTAATATTAATTGGTCGAAGGTCGTCCAGAACGAGGCATGCCTTCAACGATCTCTCGTCCGTATTTTTGTTAAGACTGAATCACCGTAAGTCATTCTTTGTTGTTCGATATTTTTTTCCATTGTAAAAATTGCAACGCACTACTGAGGCGTTCCGACTTAAGGGGTAGCCTGCTTTAGAAGCTTCAAAAAAACGATTTCTTTTGTTTTGCTTAAATCTCTTTAAAAATAGTCTAAGAATATGTTCCCAAAGTTTTAGATGGGAATTCGAAATATTTTTGTTCAAAAACCATTTTTTTTTTATTTTTTTTAAATTTTACACTTTTTTGAATTTTTGTTTAGTTTAGCTAGAAGATAAATTATTAAAAAGTATGAATTTCTTTAAATTTTTTGTTTCCGATAGAAATAGCGACCTGCACCCTGCCCGCCGTTCGACAAATGCACATGCGAGTTGTATCGGGCAATTGCTTCCCAAAGGCAGAATATCAAAGATTTCGCATCCAAAAAATTTGTGAATAATGTCTGAATATATAGCTATAAACTAGAAATTTCGCTTAATCACTTATTTCTTTCGCTCCCAAAAACGATTTTTTAAGCCTCCAAAGCTGGCTCCCTACTTAACCAGCGGCTATGAACAAACTGAATGACAGATCAGATCATATTGGGCATAATAATTACGGTCAGTGCTATCAATTTAGCATCATAAATTTTTTTGAAATAGTACTTTCTCGGGGCATTCAATAAAAATTTTCGGGTGATGACTATTCCCCATAAATAGTGGCTAGAATGAGGTGCCGCAAAGGCCAGGAGGATAAAATAACAAAAGTTCACGAAGTTGTATTGGCAGGCCGTCGCTTCAAGGAGCGCGAGATACGAGAGACAGTAGGAGTGATTGTCATGAGAAGCATCAGTCGTCGCTACGATCAATTACTGCCAATTTATTATTTTACAGATTTTGTTTTCAAATTTGAAAAAAAAAAAAATTGCACGTGTTCAGAAATTTGAGTTCAATGAGTACGTAACCGTACCTGCGGGGACATACTTTGCAGACCTGAAGAAAAACAGACTTTCTAGAAGCGTTAAAACCTTGAGAACAAAGTTGGACGTGAAGTTTATGTAAATTTTTACAGTGTATACAAATTATAGCGAAAAACTTCAATGTTTACAAACTGAAAAAAAGCTATATCAATTGAAATTTTCCAAGCTATAAAAATAATTCACTACATATTTTTTTTATACAAAAATACATTTTATTATATGAGCAAAAAATATATAAAAAATTGTACTTAAAAACTATTTGGAAGACAAATGATTCTTAAACTAAATATGTAAAAATTAAAGCCGTTTCACATCGTCGACAATTTCAAAAATGCCAGTCCACGGGGTCTTACGCCCGAGATGCGATGGAGCAGCACACACGCTGACTAATTAGTGGCGGCATAGCGTCGACGATGGAGCAATTTGGCAGTTCGACTGCATCACACACTTACATATAAACTATTAAAGCTCTTTTTCTTATTGAAATGTAAGCGGTGTGGTTTAAGGACGTACCAAGTCCTAGAAGGCACCAGCGGCTTGCCAGTAGGACACTTTATGCATAGTATCCTTGAATATCAATTACGATAGACTGCGTTCATGAACGTATTACTCCAACGATTTGCTTTTTGTCGCCAACTCAGCTAACTCGTTCTGTTCATTTTCGTACTCCTCAGCGCTGAGTGTTGAGCAAGTGGTTAGTATGCTAGCGTTGAATTTGGATGCTTCGACTTCAGTGGTTATTGCTTTCGGCAGCTCAGTTATTGCTTGCGGCTTTATGGATGTGATTTGCTGCTGTATGTTGTTGTTGCTGTCTGCTTTGCTGACTGTTGTTGATTTGAAGACGCGTTTCAATAACTTGAAAACCGTCTTCAGCGCCTTGCCTGGTGTGTAATTCGGTTTGTTGATGGCTTGTTCAGCCAAAGTGCTGACGTTGCAAGTGTTCACGAGTTTAGCGTAAGACATTATTGCTGTTGTTTTTTTTTCGGTTTTAGAATTTTCACAATAGAATTTAACTTCGTCGATATTGACTCAGCAGTTAAATTATTCGCTCGATCGCAAGGCTACGAATGATATTTTGCTCCTTGCAACGCTGGCTATTTATACCTTTGCGCATGCGTAAAACAACCCCTATGTTTTTGAGTTGAATGGAGCACAAGTGTGCGTACCAATGAGAACACAGATTTTTTCTATAGGTGCTCATATCTTATTGTTATTGCGTTTTAAGTTATTGTATTCTGTATTTCTTTTGTATTAGTATGCACTTTTCGTTCGTCGTTGTTCTTATATGTGGTTGGCTACACACATTCATAGAATTTGTTGCTAATATTATTAACATGTTTGTAATAAATTCGAAGTTATATTAGAAAATAATATATATAATTTAAATATAAGTTAATATTTTCTCTTAATTTGTGAAGAAATTTTAGTAGAAAAAATTGCTTTTAGTGGCAGTCATTTCATGGCAGCACTCTTCATTTCCTGATACAATAAAAAATTTTTAAAAGTATATTTATTAGTCATTTACAATTTGTTAGAAATTTGCCGTTAACTGAAGCACTCCAACTTCCGCCAGAAGATTTTTATTATTAGATGTGATCAACGTCCTTGTCTGAAGTTACACTCATTAGTGGATCGATTGAAAGAGAATTGGCTTTTATGAGCGATGTTTTGATGATCAGGCTTGACTTATATAAAAGCATTTGCTATACAAATTATATATTATAACAATACCTAAGATACACCACAAGGTCATTGCAGAGAAAATTCAAATCAAAAGCTTAAAACATCTGCTCAACTTTGAAATATTGTCGAAAAGCCTAAAAGGGCACCGTTTTAGGACTGCATTTACACTTCATTATCTCGCACAATGAAAAAAACATACAGTCTGAAAGAGGATGCAAAAATTTCTTCAGTTGGAACTAAAATTAGAACCTCTAAATATGATTTACTCCACATGCTGTAGGCTTATCCGCGATATCCACTTCCAACATTGTTTTTTTCAATGCAATCACGGCTGCATTATCACCAACACATATATTTGATTGGCATATAGCACACAGTGAAGATTGCGAAGTAATCAAAAGCTGCCTCATACGAGTCGTCCATCCACCTCTATTTATGACAATAATATGGAAAACATTAATGGAACAGTGCTTCAAACTCGTTGTGTGGTCAACAGATAGATATCAGAAGAACTAAATATCTCTTATGAATTGACTTAACGCATTTTGGCTAATTTTTGGGTATGAAGTATGTTAATGATAGACTTTTACCAAACGAATTGAATATTTTCGTAAAATCGACGTTGAGAAGAGCAAAGATGCAAAAGAGCTGCTTGTCAACGTAACTGAGGGCCCTATGTTCATCAAACGAATCATTATTGTAGACGAAATGTGGGTTTACGAATATAATTTTGAAACTCTAAAAAAGAACTCCGAGGCTGTTGTTGCGTTGTCATTGGGGTGGATTTTTTWCGTGGCGGGTCCCAAACCCAGCGCGCAACCCTATGCAGGGAATGTTTCGCCTTCTCACTTTAGCTCGCTGTTCTTAGGCTACCCAGAGGATACTTGGTCAAGGACCGGAAGTCGTGAGCTGCTTGAGTCATATGTAAAAGAATCGTTTCTGGCCACTCCCAAGTGAATGGCGATCAGAAAACTTTTCTCACTTGCGTGAACTTCTACACATGACTCCATCCCCCAAAAAAGAACTCCATCCTGAAGAGATTCAAGAGCTGCCATTTTATTCAGAAATAAGGTTTTTTTGTGGTTTGTGAGTCAGCAGTATCATCGGTCCCTATTTCTTCGAAAATGATGCCGGTGAGAACTTAATGGTCAATGGCGGCCGTTATCGCGCCATGACTTCCAACTACATATTTGATGCCTCAAATTGTAGTTCCTGATATCAGCGACATTTGGTTTGAACAAGACGACGTTACTTCCCACACGTCTTATCAATAAATGTATTTATTGAGAGAATACTTCAGTGAGCAGTTAATTTAACGTTTAGGGCCGGTCGATTGGCCTCCAAGATAATATGATATCACACCGTTAGACTTTTTCCCGTGGGGATATGTAAAGTCTGATTTAGAACTTGCGAGTAAAATAGCACTCGAGTCATTCGCCAGTTACCAGTCGAAATGCTCGCACAAGCCAGCGAAAATTGTACTCAACGGTTGGACCATCTGAAAGAGATACATTTCAAAAAATAAATGCCAAAAAATTATCCTTCGAATGATAATAAGCATTTCATATTAATTTTATAGTTCCTGTGTTTTTTTTTTAAGTAGGGAACCTCGAAATGGATCACTGTTTATATTTTTGTATATGGTGGTTAAATGTCTACTATAACCGCTCTAATAGTCCCACCTAATAAGGGTGCCAGTTTTTACTACTTTCCTACATACAAAGCATTATGAAAGACTTTCAATTATTTAAATTTTCGCTTTATTAAATTGTATTCCTCAATGTAGTAGACCAAACATTGTACTGAAGAACAAATTTCAATATTTCTCCAAATCAAAGCGAAAAGCTAAATTACTTAAGTTATAAAAAAAAATTGAAAAGAATTAAAATTATCCACGTAAAAGTGTTTCCGAAGAAAAATAAGAAGTAATTATGTGTTTTTGTTGGCATGACATTTTATTAAGCGTCTTGAAAATACATATTTAGTTACTTAACAGCTAAATGGAAGACATTCGATCAGTTTGAAACTTAAACTAATGGGAAGACACATGATCACAATGACAATTTCAAAATTAAAGCTGCACATCGCCAACGCTTACGCAGTAGGCCAGCCCACGCTGCGTTCCCGCCCAATAGAGGATGAAACTCGCGCGCAGGACGATTAAGGGCTCAAAATTGCATCGACGATAATTTGCTGGCAGTTGAACTGCATTACAAACTATTAAAGCTCCGTTAATATTGTATAAAGCGTTGAAATGCAAGTGGCGCGGTTTATGGACGGTCCAGGTCCTTCAAGGCACTAGCGGTTTGCCAGTCGGTTGTGTTCAACATCCATTTTAAACAATAAGTCCATGTAGCCATCGCTGAAATACCGTTACTCAGCAGTGAACGACTTGATGGCGGCTTCCAACTCGGCTAACTCATTCAGCTGATTCTCATAATCTTCGACGCTTAGTACGGAGCAATTGGTGCGCATGCTGAGGTCGGTTCTGCGACACATCTCTGTTACTTTTGACGACAGCTCTTCCGCGATTTGCTTCTCGGCGGTGATGATTACCCTGCCCGACGTGGAGGGGCGGAAAAAGCGACGCAGCAGTTTGCAAGCCTTCCGCAGTGCCTTACGCGGTGTATAGTGTGGCTTGGGGATGCTCTGCTCAGCCGTAGCGCAAGTGTTGACGAGCGTAGCATAAGACATTTTAAGTTTTCAAAAAATTTACGTATTTTTCAACTCTCAACAATAAAAATTGGTTTTGGAATTAGTCGCTGTTTTTCTACGCTTGTTTGCTGTGCTAAGAATGTTGTGCTGTCGCTCGTCACGCCGACTATTTATACGTTTGCGCATGCGTAAAACAACCCCTATGCGCGGTATGAGCATAAGGGTAGCGCTGACCAATCGGATGGCGTGTTCACGCAGGTGCAACTTGTGCTCGACTTTGCTGGTGCTCTCTGCCATACCTGCGCTCTACCTGCAGTGGGTTCTCCCGAACACCGCGTTGCGCACAATTAGTGTATTTATTAAGGTGTCGCGCCGTCGTGCCTATCCCTGATCCCTGTCGCATTGCTTTATCTGTGTTGTTGCCTTTGTTTGCTTGATTTTTTTTGGGGATTTTTGGAAAACTGTGCTATCCCTTGCACGTGTGCAAACGGTTTTCCCTGGTTGGTAGTGCTTGTGTGCGTCTCTCCCCCCCCCTCTTTGCTCTACCTGCCATAGCCAAGTATAAATAATGCCCTTTAAATAGTGATGCATATCCTTTTTTGCCTAAGCGTATCGGCTATTTACTATGCTGATCGTGGGAAAGTAAAATACATTTTTGGATTCCTGGCATTTTCCTAAATCTTTTGTTTGATTGTTTGCTACACTATTTGTATTTCACTTGAAGGTAATTTGAGTTGCGTTTTTCTGCATTCTCATTCAGAGCAAGCAGGCAAATATGAATATTTAAATGCTGATCGCTGTCGATCGTCAGTGCAGATCGGCTGTGTGATCGCTATTTTTGGCGATGCTCGTGGTGGCACCCTTCGGCTAAGGGCCGTTACATTTTGTTGTTGCTATTTTTCAGCAAATCGTGCTCAATCATTGAAGTGCATCGAAATACTAGGAAAACTGCTTGCAGTGATCGTGGCATTGATCAAGAGACCTATGAGAAAATAACCCTATGAAAATTGTAGGCAGGACAAGTGTTATACCCTCGTTAAACATATGTTGCACTTTCTTATTTTGTTGATTTTGGAGGTGATTTTTTATATTGAAAATTCTATTTTATTGCTCGTCCGCATTGTGTGTGTGTATAGCTAGGTTGCCTGAGGTTCGGCGCGCTGTTCGCTGCGTGGCAATTGTAGATATTATTGTGGCTGAGTTGGTTTGGTGGATCCGCTGGAATTTAATTATGAATTTTTATTACTTTGTAATTAGAATTTCGAAGTGTGTAGGCATGTGCATGACTCATGCATATATTTCTAATAAATTATAAGAAAATAAATAATAAAATTGAAAAATGAGCTGTGGCTTGAGTGTTTCTTAGTAGTATATTACGATAGCCATGTTCGATTAGTTACTTCTTTGATCGTTATGTTTGAGCTGTACACTCTTGCCTAAAAAAATAATACTTTAAGGCTAGAACGTAGTTATAGCGTTAAGCTTATTGTTAAAGGTTCATTATTTGATTATACTTGCCTATCTGGCTTACGCTGGGTGTATGTTCGATTCGCTATTCACTAATTTTTAGCAAATAACAAACGTGAATATAAGCTACTGTAATATAACACTCATGACAGCTAGAGTAGATAAGTATGCAATTTCCTACAAAGTTATACCGACCCGCTCCCACTCTGCTTATATCGATTCTAGGGTGCTTTTCCCACACCAGTCTTATCACAAAGACACTGGATACTATTGATAGCGAGGTTAGGCACTCCACGACTAACCCAGAATGCACTATAAATAAGTTAATGGCTAGTATCGCCGCTCTGCTAACTGAGAAAATGGTCACATCTCTGAAGGAGGCTGCACTCCGGAACCGTAGATCTACCAACTGAATGGGTGCAACCTCGTCTTGAAAGACACTGAAATAGTCAGGAAGTCTGAAGCTGGAGCTGATACAGTAAACTCCTCCACCAACCTTCCCACCAAGATTTGACGCATCCGTAAAAAAGCTCACTGTCCCTCTCCTTCAACGGCTACTTTCCACCCACAACTCTCTCGTGGTATATGAATGAGACGGAGCAACCAGATTTCGGTTTGACGACTCCATGATCCAACTAGTTCGGTCTGAAGTTAAAGTGTGTGATAATATCCAAGTGTTCAGATAAGTGTTCTTTTAAAAACCTAGATTTTCTGAGTCGCTGTCGGTCGCTGAGGTGTATGGCTACCTTCCGACGATAGCTACGTGTACTGTATGCAAGTAAATAAGACCTTATCAGTTTTACTTGGGTTGATAGCGAGACCACTTTCCAATTTGTTACGACGCTGAGATTTCTCTACGTTAACTCGTACGCGGTACTTAAAAACTTTTCTTTGACTATAAGTGCTACATCGTTGCATTGGCTCCACCTTATGGTATTCCCTTACTCATATTTCGTCGAACTCATGCGTTACCTTATTCCATTTGAATCACTCTCTCGCACAGATGACTGAGAATGAGGTGCTTAAGGTTTGAAGCTCCCTCAATATCAAGCAAGGTCTCAACAGCGAATTTCTTAACCCTAAAGGATTATTCAAGCCATGACACTATAATATGTAGGACAGTATGCACTGAGTTGTCTTTATTCTTAGTAAGCATGGTGCGCTCCTGATATATGATGGAATGTGCCTCCTTATGTATCAGTCCACCATTCTCCCCAGAGTTATAAATTGTAATAAACGATTTTTATTTTGAACTTTTAAATTATCAAAGTAAATTTCAGTAGCGATTGGCCTGAGTAAAATCGCAAAGGATAGGGAAGTAAGATTGTAATCCTTCCACACAAGCCACAGTCGATCTTCTTCGAGTAATCATGGCGAACAGTTTTCATTTGGCTTCTTAAACTTTTTGCAGAATTGCTGTGAGACATTACCATGAACCTTCAAAAAGATCTTGATAAACTCTTCGAAGTGAACTATTTTGTGTAATTTTAAGCATCGAGGACTAACAAATTATGCTTCAAGAAAAAAAAAAAGTTTTATGATGCAAACAACACACATTATCGCCAAAAGGATTTAATTTCAACTTTTCTGATTGCAGTTATCTACCATAAATGGATACTCTACTTTATCTACTTAAGTCTACCATATCTTAATGGTATATAAAACCTATTGCGTCAATTCTAATAGTCAAAATAATAGCACAACTCAAATGGTCTCCCTTCAAACACGCTTCTAACGCAAGCCTGTCGCCTGTATGCCCTCAATACAGTACATATCTACATGTAGGCGCATGATGCTGAGAAGCCTGGGAAAATATTTTCAAACACACCTGGCCCAAGAGGGAAACAAATGAATGAATGAGTGTTGGATAAAGAACAATTTGGTGACGAATTTATTTTTCTTCACTCTCTCGAAAAGTTGTGGCAGCCCAATTTTTCCCACACGTCAGAATGCGAAAGATGCTTGGCGTACACTTGGTACTGTTGGTACAACAATTAATAGAATTTTCCCAGCAGTTGAGTGATAGTGGCGTTAGAGCGACAAACAGACATTTGCACAAGGTGTTAATGGTGTTTATTCTTTAATGAAATGTGTATTTGACAATTATTAGTGTTTATTGGACTGATGTAGTTATAAAGGAATGATTTGCAGTAGGCGAACAAAAGTTACATAAAATTTAACTATTTTTCGTACAATAACTGTATCTGTTTTTATTACCTTTAGAGTTTGAATATAGCAAACCATAACTAGTATAAAACTATGTAATTTCAAAATTTAATTTTATGAATTTTAAATAGTGGCGAATCGAACAGCAACTGGTATAAATTTGAAATACTTGCATAATTAAATACAAGCTTTCTGCGAGTTACTAAATGATAATCTTATTATCTTTGAAACGCTAAGCAATAGCACTAATAACTGGTATGACACCATGTATACTATTGCAATATTATAATAAACTGGTATAATCAAACAGATTCCATTTACTAGATTCTAAAGAATACGACTGCATAATTTTGTTGGGGACTATGGCATAGTGCTAAAAATTTGGTATAAAACTGTATTGGGTAATAATAATATAGTACTGTGACAATCATATAAAATGCATTTACTCGATTTTTTTGAATGTGATCGTATAACTTAGTTGCTACTGTCAAAAATTTTAAATAACTCGATCGAATAACTTATTTGGACACTGTCGAGTAGAACAAATAAGTGGTTTATAAACTAGTATAATATTATAATAATATACGTTTACAATCAAATAAAATCAAAACCTTTAACGACGATTTTTGATGAACGAATGGAACAAATATTTGGTATAAAAACCGGTGTAAAAATAGAATAATATACTGGCTTAATAAAAAAAGCAACTTACATATTCTTACCGAATTAAACTAGATAACTTTATTAAAGCCTATCAAATACAACAAAAAGTTTGGTATAAATTCTGGTATAATACTATAATAATAAACTGATGTATTAAAAAAAAAAAATTTTTACTCGATTTTAATGAATTAGACAGAAAAACTTTTTTTAGTAAAAACAAGAAAAATCTGGTATAAATACTGGTATAAAACTATAAATAAACTGGCATATTAAACATAAACACTTTAACTTGACTTTAATAAAATCGGTTGGATAAATTTGTTGAAGTCTAGTAAATACGAGAAAAATCTGGTATAAATACTACAATAATAAACTGGTGCATTAAATGTAAATATTTTCACTCTTTTTAATTAATTCGATTTTATAACTTTGTTGGTGGGTAGCGGATAAAGCAAGCAACTGGTATAAATACTGGTATAATGCTCTAATGGTATATTCAGCTGGACACATTTGTTGTTGCTTTTATGTATAATCTTGTTAACAATTTTCCGGCCTTTCAAAAGAGAAAGAAGCGAATCGAATGCGCTTTATGTTAATTTATTTAGGCTCCAACGATAAAACTTTCTGGTAGAAACTAACTTGGTGGTCATTCAACTAGATTTGCTGAAACATACAGGGTTTTAGCAGGCGAAATTCTTAGGTTAGATTAAGTGTCTCTGGATAGCAAACGTATTATAAAGGTTCATACGATCCAGTAATGTCTGCTAATATTGCTGCAAGCTGGAATTTGACCAAAGAAACCTTATAATTTGAACTCAAAATATATACGGT